ACAAGTCGAATCTATCCATTGACAAATTTAATTTTATCTTGAAATACTTACGCATCCATATAGATTTAAATATGGAGTAGTACAATAATCATTTGGCGAGCTTTAAACACAATTTTTTGTTATTTCATCATATTTACACATTTCAAGAGGTTTAGCAATTGCTTAACAAACATTTCCATTCACTTATAATTTAATGAAGTGATTGCAATTTAGATCTTGATTTATCTCTACATTTTAGCAACTTTATCCATTCCATTAACATAATTAACCTTTTGTTTTAATATTAATACAAGCAGCTTAATTTAATTATGATTAACATTGATAATTACTTAGATCATCTTCTGATAAAGTTTAACAAAAACCTTAATTAAAAGTACAGTATTAGTTTTTAATAGATAAACATGCAGATTTTGTTAATCCAGGAGTATCACATTTTAATTATTGCAATTATTTTTAATTTATTTGATTACATCTTTAATTTAAGAAATCAAACATACAAAGACCCTCTTATTCAGCACAAACATTAATGCTTACATCATATATTTCATTGCATTCAAGTTTTTAATCAAATTTAAAAGTAATGCATTCATTTTCTTTCCATTAACAGAACAAATTAGGTTTTATAATAGATAAACATGCTAGTTTGTTTACTTTTTAAGTACATTCTGTTATTTCTGAAGGTTCTATGTTTTTACATTAATTATTATGAAATAAACCTAATATAATCTATAAAATATTACACATTTCTGATTCAGTCTAAATTGATATACATCCTAATTGATTCAAACCCAAAGTTGAACATTTTAATTCTTTAAATTATATGTAATTAATTGAAACGCATTTATAATCTCCTTAAGGTCCTGAATTCATACCTTTATTATTTAAATCAAATACAAGGATTTTTTTGATATTTAGCACAGAATTATGGAGTAACAGAAAAAGGATATATTTCCTCTTTAGAATAATCAGAAAATATTATTTTTTAAGAATCTTCGCAATAATTAACATTCCAAAAACAATCTTTATTTATTACACTTAAACAAGCATATTTTGAATATGAATTATCACAACCTAAATTTTTCAAATGGAAAATGTTAACTTCTCTGCATCCATTTTAAAATATACCTATATATATATTATATTCTACATCGTTATTCAATATTCCCACTCCCAGTTAATTAATTAATACAAGCATTCCGATTGAGATTATAAGAGCATCCTAACTTTTGATTCTATATCTCCTGGCATTGATTCATAAATTCATCATACATGCCTATCATTAAATTATAAATTACAGTTAGAATCAGTTGTTAATAAAATACAAGCAATTGCATCATATTGATTAATACTACAGTTGCATTAGCAGTATTATATAGATAATACAATTATCAAAATTTGTTTTAACATATTTTATGCAAAGAGTATTTTTAATTTATATAATTTATTAATACATATTATCTTTTTATTTTTTAGGCTTTAATATTTATATCTTAATACCCTGGATCTTATCTCTAATATTATAATACAGTCTGCATTTTTACAATCAAAATAATTGATCCTGGAATTTAAAAAAATAACATATTTTTTAATTTTAATATAAATACACCCTATTTTAATCATACATCTTTGTATATTGGATATGAGTTCTAATATTCCTTATTTAATATTATTGAGAAAAATAATATTTTATAATATTTTTGGCTAACCAAGAATAACTGATTTTTATCATAATAGACCTATATCAAATACTTTATTTTGATAAATATTATTTATACTCTAAAATATTACTTATTAATAACTTATCTTGCATTCGATCAAGTCATTATTTGCAATTTAAGGGAAAGAAGAATTAATAGAAAACAGGAATTTAGAGTAATTAAATAATTATGAGAATATCTATTGCTCTTCTTTTATGATATCTCAAATAAAATAAAATTACATATTCTAAGTTATTCAAAAAGTTTAAAAAGAATTTAAATTGTGAAATTATTTTGAAATTTAATATGTTTATACATTCACCAAGTATAATTATATTCAATTTAATAATTAAATCATAATTGTAAAATTAACAAAAAGTATTATTAGTATAGATTTTTTCATTTTGCTATTGTATGTGCATATTAAATAAAAAGCTTTAAATTTTAATTTGAAATTAAAACTTTTAAATTGTCAAATATTTTCTTCTAATTATAATAAAATATATTTATAGATTTTATGCGCGAACATGTTTTGATTATTGTTTTAATAATTTCTTGTTGCTAGGCTGGAAATATTTGTAGCTTATACCCATTTAACCCTATATAATGCATTCAATAAACCTTAGATTCATTTTGTAAATTAAGTCTTTAATCAAGGTTAATATAATTATTTAGAAACAAAATGCATTGAATTCTATTAAACTGATTATGGATGTATTAACAATTTGAACAGAAAAGCTTGCATTGCACAATAAATAGATAAATAAAATAATGAAGTTAGATGTATAATTTTAAAAATATAGCTTAGGTTTATTTTAAAATAAATGTATGTAAACAACAAACTTACATTTAATGACTTTAGGATGTAATCCTAATTTCTCTAAATTCTCATGTCTTAATGTTATTAATTAAGATTGTATATGGTAAGGAGAATGTAAGTAATATGAAACCCAAAATTATGACTAAAACATTGAGGAGGCCAGCTGTGAATCATATTATAATTAACCTGTAACTCCTTAAATGTGTGCAAAAATANTATTTTAATCATACATCTTTGTATATTGGATATGAGTTCTAATATTCCTTATTTAATATTATTGAGAAAAATAATATTTTATAATATTTTTGGCTAACCAAGAATAACTGATTTTTATCATAATAGACCTATATCAAATACTTTATTTTGATAAATATTATTTATACTCTAAAATATTACTTATTAATAACTTATCTTGCATTCGATCAAGTCATTATTTGCAATTTAAGGGAAAGAAGAATTAATAGAAAACAGGAATTTAGAGTAATTAAATAATTATGAGAATATCTATTGCTCTTCTTTTATGATATCTCAAATAAAATAAAATTACATATTCTAAGTTATTCAAAAAGTTTAAAAAGAATTTAAATTGTGAAATTATTTTGAAATTTAATATGTTTATACATTCACCAAGTATAATTATATTCAATTTAATAATTAAATCATAATTGTAAAATTAACAAAAAGTATTATTAGTATAGATTTTTTCATTTTGCTATTGTATGTGCATATTAAATAAAAAGCTTTAAATTTTAATTTGAAATTAAAACTTTTAAATTGTCAAATATTTTCTTCTAATTATAATAAAATATATTTATAGATTTTATGCGCGAACATGTTTTGATTATTGTTTTAATAATTTCTTGTTGCTAGGCTGGAAATATTTGTAGCTTATACCCATTTAACCCTATATAATGCATTCAATAAACCTTAGATTCATTTTGTAAATTAAGTCTTTAATCAAGGTTAATATAATTATTTAGAAACAAAATGCATTGAATTCTATTAAACTGATTATGGATGTATTAACAATTTGAACAGAAAAGCTTGCATTGCACAATAAATAGATAAATAAAATAATGAAGTTAGATGTATAATTTTAAAAATATAGCTTAGGTTTATTTTAAAATAAATGTATGTAAACAACAAACTTACATTTAATGACTTTAGGATGTAATCCTAATTTCTCTAAATTCTCATGTCTTAATGTTATTAATTAAGATTGTATATGGTAAGGAGAATGTAAGTAATATGAAACCCAAAATTATGACTAAAACATTGAGGAGGCCAGCTGTGAATCATATTATAATTAACCTGTAACTCCTTAAATGTGTGCAAAAATATAAAAATTAAGATGTAAATTAAAAAATAAACTAGGTTTTCATGGAGGAATAAAATATGATTATAAATGTATAACATTATTAGAAGAACAACTTTCAGAAATTAAATGCTCTCAAAAAGGCTTAAATAAAAGTGGATGCCTTTCTATCACCACTAAGGATTAAAATTGTAATCATAAATATTTATTTTAGGTATTTTTAAAGATAATCAGTGTTAATTTATAGATATATATTAATTAGATTCTTGTGATTATATTATAAATAAGCAAACTTGTTTATCTTCTAAAATAAATAAATTATAATGTGAATGGACTATTGAAGGTTGTAGAATATTTTAAAATAAAAATTATCAATGCAATTAAATAACTGATGTTAATTATTTTGTATGTGAAAACTATGATGGTATATGTTCATATAATATTGAAACTTAAAGTTGTTAAGATTTAACTCCATCATAATTAAATAATCTATCTTGTTCTACAATAGGATTAAGTAGATAAGCATGTTTATTAATAAAAAATAATAATTGCACTTTTTATAGAGGCTTTTGTGAGAGTTTATCAGAAGAAGATTTAAAGATATTTAATTGTGATATGTTATTAAATGAAGATGCTTGTACTAATATAAAAACATAATTTTAATATTGTTAATGGAATGGTATGTAATGTGAAAGAGTATTTGTAAATTAATCTTTGACTTGTGATGTTAACAATAATAAGAATTTTAAATATAATGGACTCTTTTGTCAAAATATATCAAATAAAGAAGCAGCTTGTAAATATGATAATATTTTGAAACAATGTGTTCCAAGTTCTCCAGATGACTTTTGTGATACATCTTATCTAAATTTTCTAGGTTGTTTAAATATAAAAAGATATAATTAGACATGTTAATGGACAATCAATGGATGCAGATTTATTCAAATTTTGCCATTCTAAACAACTTGTGAAAGCTTAGGCCATGCCAATCCTAATGCCTGTTCTCAAGTAATAGAAAGCCTGTAAGAAGGTTGTTATTATGAAAAAATATATCAAAAATGTTAAAATGTAGATTAATTATAAAATTAAGGTTAATTATTAAATTCATTAGATTGTGAAAACAAATAATTAGGATTAAATAGAATACTTTGTGCTAGTATAATTAAACCATAGACAGCTTGTAGATGGCATTTAAATGAATGTGTTAAGATTTTCAGTTAAAAAGAAATTTCAGATGTGTCTTGTTAAGAATTAATATATTCAAATTCTCAGAGTTGTGCTATGATCTCATTTAAATTAGAACCTTGTAGATTTGAAAGTGCCGCTAAGGGGTGCATTAACTCTGTTAAAAAAATTATGAAATGTGATACATTAGGTTTAAATGCATTTGCTTGTGCATAATTAGAAGATTAATGTTACTTTAATCAGGATTAATTAGAATGCCAGCTCTTGTAATCTTAAAATTCGTCTTCAAATTCTTCTTAAACACCTGATTCTTATAATGATCAATCATTATATAGCAGTTTGAACAATTTATCATGTATTCAAAGTTCTCCTACATAAAAGATATGCAAATTAATATCAAAACCAGGATAATTATGTTAATGGAAAGAAACACTAGATAAATGTGGAGTAGTCATTGTGAGTATAAATTAAAAATGCACAGAATTTAAAAATGTTAATAGTAACGTTTGTGCAGCTGTAGTAACAGAAAATCCAGATTTTATACCTAATAATGAAATAAAAAAAGTTGGATATTGTAAATTCGATCCAGCCAATAGTATTTGTGTTGTTTTAGAGGGAAATGAACTTTGTGAAACTAATTGTTGTACTGAGAGTAAATTTAATGGAATTAATTAACATTCTTGTAGTTTTCTAACAAGAAAATCTAATTCATATTGTTACTTTGATGTTAATAGATGTAAAGAATTGACATCAAATATGGTTGATATCACAGATGAAAAAGCAGTTAAACAATTTTTTAATGCTAATGAAGTAAATGGATTCATATGTTCATAGATGGGTAAAAGATCATGTCATATGATTGAATGGTCAACTTCATAAAGATGTTATTTTAATGGAAATTCATGTATTAATATCAATTTTGAGAATTATAACAATTTTAAAATATTTACGGAAGAACCTTCAATTTTAAATCGTTATGCTTGTTTGGCAATTGAAGCATCCTTAACAATTTATAATAGCGAAAAATATTTTGAATATGATCATGAGAATCATCGTTGTATTAGTAAAGAGTATTTAAGTTCACCTCCTTATTATGCACGTTGTGAAGATGTTTAAGGAAATTCTAATATATGCTTAAGATTTACAGAAAATAATAATTGTAGATGGGATAAAAAATTATTAAAATGTGTAACAATGTCATAAGCTGAATTTGAAGATATAACAACTTGTGATTAAAATTAAAATATTAGAGCATGTAGAGAAAATATTCATGCTCCTTGTTTCTTTTCATTTGATTTAGACAAATGTATAACTGCTTATACTAATGTACCATTTAATTACTTTGATTTTAAAGGATTGGTATCATAAAAAGCATGTTCAAAAATTGAATTCACAAAAAATTTATGTGAATGGTAAAATTATAAATGCATATAATCAAATAAAAGTTCAACAGAATGTGATGTAACTGGAGCAAATAAATATACATGCTTTAAAAATACATCAGGAAAATGTAGATGGAGTAAGGAAACATCAACATGTTATCAGATTGCAACAATAAAATAAATAGGAGAATTAGGATGCTTAGATAATTTAAATTCAGTTCTATGTAGATTAGTAACAAAGGAACCATGTATGTGGGATGATTCAATATATGAATGTGTTAGGTTTAAATAAATTCATCATACGGATTTCATATCTTTAGATAAATAAAATTTCTATAATGCATTAGCTTGTTTATAAATAACAGGAGCAGGATATATATATGATGAAAAAAATAATAAATGCACATTAATTGACAATTCAAACAATCGAATGAAATGTTAATAAATGATAAATTAATATGCTTGTTTATATTTAACAAGAGGATTTAATTGTGTATATGATACAACTAAAATGCCTCCATGCTAATTATTCACTGATGATTAATCAGAATGTACAACATATAATCTAATAAATATATAAGTTTGCATGGATATTTCTAAATTATGTTACTTCTCAAAATCAAAATTGTAATGTTTAGTTGCAGATATTCCTTAATCATCAACTTGTTCCTAATTGGGTGATTAGGTAAATAATGGAATTCATTATAATAAATTATCCTGCTCTTCTATTGATGAATCATTAACATAATCCTATTCTGAAAATTAATGTTATGAGGGTGACGAAAAAAAATAATAGTGTAGTTATGAATTTAATTGCGAATGGCATAATTAATTTTATGGATGTAAAGTCAAATAATAATTTATATTATTTTTTGATAAAGAAAATACAATAGAAAAGTCTGTCTTTGAATACAGATACAAAATAGATAATTGTACAAATTAATGTAACAAATACATAACCAAACCAGAATCATATTAATAAAGTTACAAGGTAACATTTCCAGGAACTTCAATTTCTCTACAATGTGGTATTAATAAGACATGTGATTATTAAGATAAAATTTGTTAAACAAATTCTGATTGTTCAACCATTTATATTAATCCAATTTAAATTAATGATGATGGTACATTTAATAATGGTACAAAATAGAATTAATTATGCACAAAAAAATGTTAAAAAAGCGGTGATATAGTCTGCAATCCATCAGTCTAAACTTACCCATAAGAAATTACCAAAGATCCTATAATTCAAACATAATCCTGTTTAGGGAGGTGTAATAATTCCAATTCTTATTGTTCCAAAGATTTTGAATGTGGTTTGAACATCATTACTGAATAAGAACAAAGAGGTAATACAACTGTTCCTGTTGAAAAAGCATATCAAAATATATGCAAAAATTATGAATGTACCTAAGGGAAATCTAACTGTTAAACTAAGAATGATTGTCCAGATTATGTTTCTAAAAGTTGGGAGTTTTAATTAGCTCAATGTTTTAAAAAAACTATCTACGTAATAGTTCCTATTTGTAAAGGATTCGCTTATATTGAATTAAAATGCAAAAATACTTTCTCTAAAGCACTTTGTTTGTATGGAGTATTAGAAGAATGTTTCTTTGATATAAATTAAGGAGGTTGTATTTAATTAAAGGGAAATGAACATAAAGTACCTAATTGTTCATCAATTTCAAGCAGATGCAAACCTACAGAATAAGCATTAGAATGTGATCCAAATAAACCAATTTGTAAAAATAGTACAGAATGTTAACCTAATGGTTTCTTAAATTCTTGTCTAAAGAGTTCTAACTAAAAAGTAATTTGTAAAGCTGGATAATCAAAGATATTCCCAGATGAAAATTAATGTTTCTCTTTATAGAGACAAATTTAATAATGTGAAAAAGTAACTGTAGATGAAAATCTTTAATGTGATTAGATGACTGGAGATGAATCTCCTGCTTTATGTGCATTAGCAATAGATTTCTGTCGCTTTGAGTTAGACAGATGTGTTAGTGATAAACCATTAGATTAACAAAATTAATGTATTTGTGATTCAAGTTTTAGTAAATCACTTTGTGAAGATTGTGGATGCGTATTTGATTTTGTCGGATATTGCCAATAAAAGCCACTTGTTCCCTAATTAAATCCTGATGGATCAAACAAATATTATTTATGTTATGAAGTTAATTAATTAAATATTTTGGAAAAGGCTATAATTTGTACTATGGTAGAGTAGGCTTGTAAATTTAAAGATAATAAATGTGAAGATGCAACTCATAGTACATGTGAGTAATTGAAGCAATCATTTACTACTAAGAAGGCATGCACTCTTTGTTAGGGTGCTAGTACTTATTACGATATTAATAATCATACTTGCTAATATATTCTGCTCAAAAGTGTCTCATAATGTTCTCTCTTAAATAGAGAAGGTTGTTTATAAAAGACAAAAGATATAATGTGTAAATGGGAAAATTATGAATGTAAATAAATTGATAAAATAACAGCATCAGATAGTAGAGAGTGTTCAATATATAATAGAGAAGCTTGTATTTAATTTTCATATCATTGTTGGTTTGATATAAATATTAGTTATTGTACAGAATTTGATCCATTGTAAGGAGATTGTAAGTTATTATTAAATAGAGATCTATGTATATATTCATTAAAATAATCATGTTAATGGGATTTAATTAATAATAAATGTATAATAGATAATTAAGAAATTACATAATGTAAAGGTTTAAATAAATTTGGATGTTTAAATCAATCAATTTTATAATGTGTATGGTCTGATAGTTATGAATGTGAATAAGCTGAATTAAATAATAATGTTTAATCATGTGAATCTCCATTAAATTATTCATAAACAGCATATATAACAAATTTTAGTAAAAGGGTTTGTTCTTCAATTAATATTAATTAAAGTTGTTTCTTAGATAATTATTATTAATGTAGAAAAATTATTATAACTGATAAAATTAATTGTGATAGTTATGGATTAAATAGATTTGGTTGTATTAATAGATCATTAGGATAATGTTAATTTATAGATAATGATTAAAAATGTATAGAAAATTTAAATAATTAAATTGGATGTATAGATTCATTAAATAAATGGGCTTGTATTTCTTAAAAATAAACATGTAAATTTGATAATAATAAATGTACTTTTCATTAAGTTAATACAATTAATGATATCATTAATTCAAATTCAAAATTTGCTTATTCAAAAACAGTTTGTAGTTCTTTAGATTCAAATTTAAAAAATAGTTTAATTTATAGTGAAATATAAAATAGATGTATTGATGTATCAAATAGATAACCTTTTATTGATAATTGTTATAGATTTACAACAAATAAGTATTCTTGTTAATAAAAGACATTATAAACATGTGAATATGATTTAATTGATAATAATTGTATTAAAACATCTTAATAAACTTTAAAAACAATTAATAATTGTTTTACTGAAAAATATTTGAATTGGGTTTCTTGTATTTCTTTACTTTCAAATTGTAAATTTAATGGAGAAAAATGTTTACCTATTGATTTATAAATTGATACTTGTCAATATTTATATTAAGAATAATATATAGTAAAAGATAAAGTTTGTGCAATTACAAAAGATCAAAGTTGTAAATTAAATGTTAATACAAATACATGTGAAATTGTAAAAATAACTGATAATTTCTAATGTTCAACTCCAGGGTTAAATAAAAAAAGTTGTATATTCTAAACCAAAGGTTATCTTTGTAGATTTGAAAATGATTAATGTATTTTTGATTATGGATATGCATTATGCGAAGATATGATTAATGAAGAAAAATGTTATTCAATTAGAATTAAAGGATAATATTGTATATTTGATTAAATAAAAGGTTGTTAGTAAATTGATAATACTTTAATAGATTTAAATAAATGTATTCATTCATTTAAAACTAATCCTATTACTTGTTCAAGAAGTACAGACATAGCTTGTTTTTATGATATTGAGACAAAAAAGTGTATTGTGTACAAAAATCCTGAAGATAAAAATTAAACAATTAATTAGAATTATTTCATTTAGAACCTAAACTCATTTAATTTATTAGCTTGCTCTCTTAATAATATTGTTAAATCTGATTAAATAAATACTTATGGTCAATTGAAAACTAAATGGATAGGTGAATGCATAGAAACATTAATCTCAGAAGCTACTACATTAAAATGCAATGATAAATTAAATGAGCCTGCATGTTTATCAATATAGACTCCTTTTTAATATTGCATATTTTTAGAAAATTAATGTTAATTTTAAGATCCTTAAAATTTTAAATCATCTTTTTGCAATACTATTTAGAAAGTAAATTCAGGAATCTTTTGTTAGATAAATGAAACTCAAGCCTGCCGTTTTAATAATTAAATGAAATCATGCGAAATTGTTACATCATCTACATCTGTCCAATGCGTTGATACTAAACCAGAATTTATTGGTTATAATAAAAGAGCATGCGATTTAAAACCTTAAGAGTGTACTTTTTCAAATGGGTGTTATTAATTAAAAGCAACATAGAATATTAAATTTTGTAATGAATTTTCTGTCGATGAATGTAATAAAGCTATGAGAGAAGGATGCAAAATAGATTAAAATAAATGTTTATCTATAAAGTCAAATGAATATTCTCAATTAGAATGTAGTTAAGTTGCGAATCTTATTGGATGCTATAATATCACTACAGAAAAACAATATTGTCAATATAATGAATTAAATAAGAGTTGTTAGTTAATTAAATTAGATAAAACGTCAGGCTTTTGTAAAAGTTTCTCTGCAATTAATAGTTAAGTTCCTTGTGAAAATACTAATGATATACCTTGCAAATACAATCCATTAGAGCATAAATGTGAGAATGCCTAAGGAGAGATAGAATTCTAATGCATAAGAGGTTTAAATTAAATTGCTTGTTTGACTCTTACTTAATAATCTTTATAATGTCAATTCTATAATTACTGTTATGGACCGAATTATAATATTCTTAATTGTGACCCTACAAAAATTAAAGATTGTTGTTAATTAGCAATTACAATTGAAAGTTGTTTATTTTAGGATTAGTTTTAATGTTAATGGTTGAATGAAGAATGTAAATAATATTCAGAATAAAATTAAAAATGTTTATCTCTAATATATGTTTCAAGAAAAGTGTGTTATAATATTAAGGATTCTTTTTGTATTTTCAATTTGGATAAATTAGGATGTATAGACATAGAACCAGATAATTGTGAATAAGTCTAAACAAAAGAATAATGTATTTAATTTATTAATTTGCCATGCTATTGGGATTTTATCAAAGACTAATGTTTATAAAAATTAATGAATCCAAACGATGGATGTTAAGATATTTAAGACTAATGGGGTAGTGAAAGATCATGCTTGGATGTTGAAAAATAAGGTGAAATGTGTATATTTTAAAATAAATGTTCTGCTTATTTGCAATCGAAAGACATAGGTTGCTCATAAAAATTAAATAAATAATCTTGTTTATAATAAGTATTAAATGAATGCATTTGGGATTAAAAATAAAAATAAATCTGTCTTGAATTCAATAAGCAATCCAATTAATAATGTGACTCTAATCTTAGTTATCTTGCTTGTTTGAGTGTTAGAACATCTAATACATTTTGTTAATGGAAAGACAAGGAATGCAAAAATGTTGAAAATAATTAGATTATTTCTTTATCATCTTTTTCATAAGTAAACTGTAATACATGTAGATTAATAAATGATGTTTCTAGTGTAATATGTGATACTTAGAATTTTAAATGCTTAAAAGTACATAATCTAAGGAATCTTACTTGTGATGTTATTGGAATGAATAAATAAGCTTGTTTAAATATAAAAGATTATCCTTGTAAATGGGATGATATAAACAAAATATGTTTAAAATATGAATCATCAGATATTAGTTGTTAAATCAAAAATACTAATCCTTTAACATGTTCAATAATAAATTTATCTTTACCTTGTGGATCAAAAGGAAGTAATTGTGATTATGTTGATATAACAAAGATTTCTTGTGATTATCCAGGATTAAATGAATATGGATGTCTATAAATTACAAATTATCCTTGTGGATGGGTTTATGATAATTTTATATAATAATACTAATGCAAATTAATCAAAAATTTTGATGCATGTTTAGGATATAATCATTAGGTTAATGCATTGGTATGTACTTAAATTATGGATGTTCCTTGCTTTTATAATTCTAGTATTAGAAATTGTATTGTATTTAAAGTATCAGAAGACAATCGTTGTAATTAATTAGGAATTAATAGTATTGGATGTTCAAATATTGATGATTGTGTTTATATAAACGGAAGATGTGAGAAATATGATAAAAAAATGAATTTAAAATGTGAAGATGCTCTATTTTCAAATGATAAAGTTTGTTCATAAATAGAAACGGATAGATGTAAATATAACATTTTAGGAAATGGTTGTATACCATCAGAATTATAAGATATCTGCTCAACCAAATAGATCAATGAAATTGGGTGCAATGATTTGATAGATTGTTAATGGAATTATTCTAAATGCTAATGTAAGGCTTTGCGAAATAAGTATCCAGACTGCCCTTCTGTCACTGAATCGATAAAATGTTAAAATTTAAATTATTGCTATATTGCTACTTCTAATCCTTAATATGCTGATGAGATTAATTAATAGTTAATAGATTAAAATTTAATAAAGTGCTTAAAAAAGACATGCGATTTTTATTCAATAGATTAATGTGATGGTTAAATAATAGATACTGATATTTGTTATTTAACCTCTAATAAAGAGTGTAAATTAGCAAAAACATGTGATGAAATAGTGGATCCGTATAATGATTGTTCCAATTATAATCTAAAAAATTAATACTGTTTCAGAAAGTTAGATAGTAAGAATTGTTTTGCTTCACCAGATTGTTAAACTTTAGATTTTATTAAATGTTAATAATATCCAGAAGATTGTATTTTTGAGTCAACATGTAAAACTATAGAATGTTAATATTTTAATACATAAAGGAAATGTGAAGAAAAAAAATGTGAATGGATTCAATAAAATAAAAGTTGTATCAACTCAAATTTTTGCACTTCACAAAGTAACGAAAATTGTATGAACGTTAAACAAAATGGGAAATAATGTGCTTTAATAGGGAGAGATGGAGAGGACTAATTTTGTTCAGATATTGGATGCAGATATCTCTTAATAGAGTATTCTCTATGTAATGGAGCTGAAATAGGTGATGAAGTATGTGTTCCATTATCAGATTCAAGTTGTGTAAGTTGCCAAGAAATTAACGATCCTTGTATTTGTTTAGCACATTAAGATTCTTGTGAATATGATAGATTTCATAATATTTGTAAGTCTATTTAATGCGAAAGTTTTAATAAAGAAACTTGTCCCTTTTCTAGATGTTAATTTAATTAATAGAATTAGGTATTTTATTGACTTTATTTCCTAGATATGTATTCCATTTTGTTAAAATAATTATAATCGTAAGCAATGTCACAATTATTTATTTAGCTGTATCTGGGATACGGAGAAGTAGATATGTACTTAATAAAACAAAACCAATGTTTAAGGAGAGTCTCCAATAAATATTATTATCACTAATATCTATGGATTAGTCTTACGAATAATAATACCAATTCTTATAATTGAGTTTTGAATTTATAATAATATATAAGATATTTTTAATGTAAATCTTAATAATTCTTATTTGTTCACGATAAAATACAAATAAGGATACCAAAAGACAAATAAAGGTTCATATTCAAATTGTTTATAACAGGACCTATAATAACCTAGTTTGTTATCTCTGGTTACATACAGATTTATAGTTCATAATTCCAATAACAGTTTAAAGAATGTTGATTGCAATCAAAATCATTTTTATGATTAGCACAATGAAAATGACAAGCCTAAATAATATTTCACTTTTACCTGATTTTCTTAATTGTATTCACAAAAAGGATATTGTAGACATTAGTTTTCATTAGTAAAATTATTGCAACTGATAGATTAGCATTAATTTAATTTTGGATTGAATCTGCAATATTCTTGATCTAAGCATAAACATAAATCTTTAATTTCCTCGCATTAAACACATGATTCATCTTTAAGTTTTACACAAATATTGTTATTAATAAACTAATTCCTACATGATTAATATTTATCTAGAAATTAACAACCTAGTTGACTACAAAAGATCTCATTATCATTTTTCAACCATTTGCATTAAATATTATTATACGAATTTTAATTACAATTCTCTTCAGTTTAATAAGTATCACATTTTAACTTATCATTACATTCTTTAGTATTTATATTCCATTCGCAATTATAATATCTACAAACTTATTCTGTATATAATTCTGAACATTATTTTGTTTAACAACGATCAGTATATTGGCAATAAAGTGAAAATTTTTCACACATAACTTTATTTAATTCTGAACATACTAATTTTTTACAGGAATTTAAATCAATACTTTGAATACAAGGCACACCGTTAATTACTAGTTTTGAACATAAAATATATGGATTTTTAACCTCTTCACATGAATTTGCCTATTAACATTAATTTTTAATGTTTAAATAACAAGTAGTATTTAATATTTAGTAATTTTAACATTCTTATTATTTAAGATCTGAGCAAAGTTTTTATCTACATGTACCAAAATTTTAATTTTCAATTTATTAATTAACTTCATTATTATTTGTTAACTAAGATTCATATATACATTATTCATATTATTTACATTTTTATGACTCAACTATTTCATCACAAACTGGTAAAACATTTTGAATGCTTTAACATTCGCAATTGTTATTTTTCCAAAAACACTAATTTTATGATATAATGCAACCTGATTAACTTAGACCTTATCTCTTACATATTTCATTAGATTGGGAAGTAATACAACCATTTTTCAAAGAACTATATTTGCATGAGTCTTATGCGTTTTTACAGATATCGGCATGAGCTTAAGGATATTTAAGACAGTTGTAACTTTCTTCTTTAATTGCTTAGCATTTATGATTTTCGTAATAACATCCTTTTATATTAGAACATGCAATGTAATTTAAACCTTCAATATTACAATCAGCATAAGTTTCAATAGGAGTCTAGCAAATTTAAGTTTCTTTGTTGTAAAAACATGCATCAACTTAAACAGATGAGCATACCATAGAGTTAACTTATAACTTAATATTGTTACAAGAATCATAAGGCAAATAGTCATCACAATGATAATTATTATCTTCTTCATTTTTAATCCAAGCACAAGGATAATTAGTAATTTATAAACAAGCAAATTTATTCAATCCTTAATGTTTGCAATTAACATTTAAATCTATTTTACCACAACCATTGCCTATGAAACCACAACTATCTTGTACATTGATTAATGTACATGCTTTTGAATTTAAACCAGGCAAATTACATGAGATATCAAAATTTGTATTTTCTTTAGTGACTTATTCGCATGTTTTCTATACATTATTCCATTTACATAATTCAAATTGAATATGAAAACAAGAAATTTAATTTAAACCAAATTTTGATTATGAGCATGATAATTGATTTATATCTTTTAATTCAATACAAGAAGCTAATTTTTAAGAATAAGATATTAATCTATCATCTTCATATAACCCACAGACACTTGGATTCACATTTGTAGCTAATTCAGGTTTTTTAATTTTGCTATTCATATATTCAGATATATAGAAATTTTAGCATTAGTTATTCTTCCATACACAAAATGAACCAATCTTTTGGATTGATATACATGATTTATAACTCAGAGATGAGTTACACTCTCTTTAACTAAATTCAGTCAATTATTTACATTCTCCAATTTCTACTTTATCAAATTCCTTATTTGACTTACTCTTCCTTATTTAAACTTCTTTTATTACCCATTCACACTAACTAACAGTTTATTATAAACAAGATTAAATATTAAGATTACTATTACAATTATTAATACTCTCATTTTAATAAAATGTCTCACATTAATTATTCTAAAATATACATTTTTAGCCACTTCTTTCAATCATAGTACATGCCTTCAAATTACCATTTTAATCTTTTATTTAACTACATTAATCAAAAATATCTTTTTTCTTGTAAATGCAAGTTTCATAGAGTTCATCNTTGTAACTTTCTTCTTTAATTGCTTAGCATTTATGATTTTCGTAATAACATCCTTTTATATTAGAACATGCAATGTAATTTAAACCTTCAATATTACAATCAGCATAAGTTTCAATAGGAGTCTAGCAAATTTGAGTTTCTTTGTTGTAAAAACATGCATCAACTTAAACAGATGAGCATACCATAGAGTTAACTTATAACTTAATATTGTTACAAGAATCATAAGGCAAATAGTCATCACAATGATAATTATTATCTTCTTCATTTTTAATCCAAGCACAAGGATAATTAGTAATTTATAAACAAGCAAATTTATTCAATCCTTAATGTTTGCAATTAACATTTAAATCTATTTTACCACAACCATTGCCTATGAAACCACAACTATCTTGTACATTGATTAATGTACATGCTTTTGAATTTAAACCAGGCAAATTACATGAGATATCAAAATTTGTATTTTCTTTAGTGACTTATTCGCATGTTTTCTATACATTATTCCATTTACATAATTCAAATTGAATATGAAAACAAGAAATTTAATTTAAACCAAATTTTGATTATGAGCATGATAATTGATTTATATCTTTTAATTCAATACAAGAAGCTAATTTTTAAGAATAAGATATTAATCTATCATCTTCATATAACCCACAGACACTTGGATTCACATTTGTAGCTAATTCAGGTTTTTTAATTTTGCTATTCATATATTCAGATATATAGAAATTTTAGCATTAGTTATTCTTCCATACACAAAATGAACCAATCTTTTGGATTGATATACATGATTTATAACTCAGAGATGAGTTACACTCTCTTTAACTAAATTCAGTCAATTATTTACATTCTCCAATTTCTACTTTATCAAATTCCTTATTTGACTTACTCTTCCTTATTTAAACTTCTTTTATTACCCATTCACACTAACTAACAGTTTATTATAAACAAGATTAAATATTAAGATTACTATTACAATTATTAATACTCTCATTTTAATAAAATGTCTCACATTAATTATTCTAAAATATACATTTTTAGCCACTTCTTTCAATCATAGTACATNTTTCTTCTTTAATTGCTTAGCATTTATGATTTTCGTAATAACATCCTTTTATATTAGAACATGCAATGTAATTTAAACCTTCAATATTACAATCAGCATAAGTTTCAATAGGAGTCTAGCAAATTTGAGTTTCTTTGTTGTAAAAACATGCATCAACTTAAACAGATGAGCATACCATAGAGTTAACTTATAACTTAATATTGTTACAAGAATCATAAGGCAAATAGTCATCACAATGATAATTATTATCTTCTTCATTTTTAATCCAAGCACAAGGATAATTAGTAATTTATAAACAAGCAAATTTATTCAATCCTTAATGTTTGCAATTAACATTTAAATCTATTTTACCACAACCATTGCCTATGAAACCACAACTATCTTGTACATTGATTAATGTACATGCTTTTGAATTTAAACCAGGCAAATTACATGAGATATCAAAATTTGTATTTTCTTTAGTGACTTATTCGCATGTTTTCTATACATTATTCCATTTACATAATTCAAATTGAATATGAAAACAAGAAATTTAATTTAAACCAAATTTTGATTATGAGCATGATAATTGATTTATATCTTTTAATTCAATACAAGAAGCTAATTTTTAAGAATAAGATATTAATCTATCATCTTCATATAACCCACAGACACTTGGATTCACATTTGTAGCTAATTCAGGTTTTTTAATTTTGCTATTCATATATTCAGATATATAGAAATTTTAGCATTAGTTATTCTTCCATACACAAAATGAACCAATCTTTTGGATTGATATACATGATTTATAACTCAGAGATGAGTTACACTCTCTTTAACTAAATTCAGTCAATTATTTACATTCTCCAATTTCTACTTTATCAAATTCCTTATTTGACTTACTCTTCCTTATTTAAACTTCTTTTATTACCCATTCACACTAACTAACAGTTTATTATAAACAAGATTAAATATTAAGATTACTATTACAATTATTAATACTCTCATTTTAATAAAATGTCTCACATTAATTATTCTAAAATATACATTTTTAGCCACTTCTTTCAATCATAGTACATGCCTTCAAATTACCATTTTAATCTTTTATTTAACTACATTAATCAAAAATATCTTTTTTCTTGTAAATGCAAGTTTCATAGAGTTCATCCCAAATGCATGGAAAATCTGTTATTCTATTGCATTATTCAGAAGTTTAGATTTCATCACAGGCTTAAGGTATAATTTATTTACAAGTGAAATTTTCAGAGTCAAATATACAATATGACTCTTAAATAGATGTGCATACAAGAACAGAGGCATCTTTAATTTGATCGCATCTATTTTAAGCTCCTTATTTATATGCCTAACATTTATCTTGCCATTAACATTTAAATTATTTTTGAAATAAGCATGACTCTTTGGATGATGCTTCAAGACAGCAATCATAATAATTATTAGGATT